CCTCCCCGGCCCCTTCCCATGGCGGCAGCAATCGCCCGATTAGGGTGGCGGGGGGGCTTTTGGTTGGGGGGCGGGGTGCAGTTTGGTGCCCCTGAGGGCCGGCGCGCCCTAGACGAGCACCTGGTTTGCCTAGCAGACGAGCCAGCCCTGAGTGCCACAGTGATGGCTTGGTAGTTGAAGTGGCAACAAACATTTTTTCCTGACCTGCAGGCAACTGTACTCTCATCCATCTTCATTGGTGGCCTCAGCCACAACCTAATACACTTTTTGTTAATACACTCTTTATGTATTTGTAAATAATGTTTGGGATCACCCCCATGTCAAACAAGTGCAAGGTGAGTCTCAAAGTCATTTTACTTAAGTGTTTTCCATTGCTTCAAGGTAAAAGATACAAGCGACCAGAGAGAGAAAGAGAGGGAGAGGGGAAAAGAGGGAGGGGGAGAGAGATTGCTGCATCTTAATCACTGGAACGAATTCTCAGGGTCCAGTTTCCAGTGGTGTGTGGTAGTAAAAAAGGTAAAGGTTCCCTTGCTCGAAAGCCAGTCGAGTCCGACTCTAGGGTTGCAGTGCTCATCTCCATTTCAAAGCCGAAGAGCCAGCGCTGTCCAAAGACATTCCGTGGTCCTGTGGCCAGCATGACTAAACACCAAGGCGCATGGAACGCTGTTACCTTCCCACCGAAGTGGTACCTATTTATCTACTTGCAATTTCTTGCTTTCGAACTGCTAGGTTGGCAGGAGCTGGAACTAGAGATGGGAGCTCACTCCATCATGCGGCACCCGGGTCTCGAACTGCTGAACTACTGACCTTCCACAGCCTGCAGTTCAGCGCCACCGCTGTTCCTGTGTGGTAGTACTAACATCTATTAAATCTGCAGTCACCCAGCTCTACTCATGACATCATAAAGGCCTGCTGGGGTACTGGCATCCGACACACACAATCTCACCTCAATGTGCATCACTTTGTACCTGGCCATATTGAACCCCATTTGCCACGCTGATGCCCTCTCGCCCATCCTCAACAGATCCCTTTGGAGTGCCTCACAATCCTCCCTGGTTTTCACCACCCTGAACAATTTCATATCACCTGCAAATTTAGCCACTTCACTACTTACTCCCAACTCCAAATCGTTCATGAACAAGTTAAAAAGTATCAGACCCAGTAATAAGCCATGTGGTACCCCACGGCTTACCACCCTCCACTGAGAAAATTGCCCATTTATATTCACTCTTGGTTTCCTATTAATTAGCCAGTTTCTGATCCACAAAAGGAGTTTTATCCCATGACTATTGAGCTTAACTAGGAGCCTTTGATTAGGAACTTTATCAAAAGCTTTCTGGAAGGGCTTCCTGATGCTTGCGTCCTGCAAAATACTTCACATGCACAGAGTTCATGGCTTCCTTTGATGTTGCTCCCATTCTTAGTTGCCCAAGGCAGATTTTTAATACTACCAAAATATACTGAGCAGACGTGTTGAGTGATCAGCTCATAGTTTATTAGTGATTTTAGATAAACTCTAAGACAACTCTAGCAGGACTGGAGCCCTGCTTAAATGCCTGCAAAACACCACACCCAACATACACAAACTCCCAGTGATAGGCTATTTACATTACAACTGCCGTTCAATAGGTTCCTTCCAGGATCCTGGCTACATATTGTTCTGGTGACTTAAGCTAGGTCAGTTTCTCTGGCGCAGTACAAACTCAGTACATAACAACGACCAATACCGTCATTATTTTCCCTCCACAAGTCTGAGTCTTGCCTGTGTAAAATAAACCACCCCTGGTTTTCTTTGCCAGGACTGTAGTCCTTTGGAATACTAAACTCTGATTCTAAATGTAGGGCCTCACAAGGGCACGGATCTGCAGTGACTGAGCATAATCGATTCCATTTAAAATTTAAAAATCGGACTTGTTATGGGGAAAGGAGGGCGACGAATAGCCCAAGCAGCTACTCCTGAGGAAAGGAGGCGTTACGAGCTCCTTACGAGCTCTTTTTCCGCGAGCTCGAGCGCCTTGGCGCGCTGCCAGCCGGCGTGGCTCCCCGAGCACAAGGTTCACCGGGCTGCTCCCACACCCGAGGAGGAAGCGGCCGCACAGAGCAGAGGGCGGGATGACGGGGTGAGCGCGGCGAGGAAGGGGCGACTGGGGAAAGAAGAGCGCTGCTTTGGGAACGGACTCGCCTTTACCACGGAGGGGCCAAAGAGGGAAACGAGCCTCCAGGGGCCCGCGAGAGCGGGCGCCTAGGCGCGCGACGACGGAAGGCGCCGCCGGGAGATGGCCTTGCCCTGTTGGCGGCATTTGATTTGTAGCTGCCTCCTCTGCTCAGGTAAGCCCCGGCTGGGCTTGCTCTGGCTGCTGCTCCAGGCACGCCTACCCGACTGAGCACAATCTGTAAGAAACTTCCCTAGCATTGAGCTACACTTGCAGTGCTGGCCGGAGAGGCGCTGGAGCTGTAATAGCGCCTGTGGTGTGGAGCACGCCTCCCCACCTGCCACCCTTGGTCGCGGGGACCAGGGGCCAGGGGGCTTTTTGGAGCGTCCATGTCCATTTCCTCTTATGCCTCTTATTGGCACGGTGGCTTGCGTGCCAGTGCGCTTGCTCATAGGGTGTTGCAAGGCATTGATAGCATAAAGAAACAGTGGCGCTTGTTTGTAACATTGTGGTATCATCAGCTCACGTCCGCCTGCCTTACAAGTTGTAGAACTATACAGCAAACTCTACTCTTGGAACGCTTGAGAGACTAACAAAATTGCATCCCTCCATGGACTTCTAGGGCCAGCTCTGGGTTGGAAAATACCTGGAGACTTTGGGATTGGTGGAGCCTGGGGAGGGCAGGGTTTGGCGAGAGGAGGGACCTCAGCAGGGCATAATGCCATTAGAATCCATCCTGTAAAGCAGCCATTTTCTCCAGGGGGGACTGATCTCTGCCAGCTGGAGATCAATTGTAATAGTGGGATATCTCCAGGTGCTACCTGGAGGCTGGCAATGCTGTGACTTCTGTGGACCGGCCATGTGAGGAACATCTGAAGAAGTAACCTCTGGCCAAAACCTGTGCTGGAATAAATGTAGTCAGTCACTAATGTGACACAAGCTATTTATTTATTTTATTTTTTAATTTATTCTTTAGATTTGTATCCCGCCATCCCCGAAGGCTCAGGGTGGCTAACAAGGGCATAAATGCCAGATTAAAACAATAAGAACAGTATAAAAATACAATAATACAACATAATACAGTTATTAAAAAATATCGGTGCTCCAATACTCACTCCGAATCATAAAACCAAGATGGTGTTCTGAAGATGTTATAACAGGTGGTGGGGCTTTTGGGGGCTCTGCCCCATTTCTTAAAGGCACAGCCCCACAAGAATTTCTCCTGTAAATGCTTTTTTCAATCATTTTAAAACATTTTTTTTAAAAGGCATGCACTCCTTTAAACAGAGTGGGGTGCTGTAGTTGACTAATTCCCACACTGAGAAATGGTAACCTCTTGGATCCCTTCTAACTCTGTGTCAGGAAACTGGTCTCCTTTAAGAGGGTTTTTCTCCCTAAGTGTTAGCTTTCTTGACTACAGAAGTCATCCCCCCCCCACCTGCCAGCTTGTTAGCAGAATTGCTGCTTAGGCTGGCAGAAGTGATTAACTTGCAGCAGCTGAGAACTGTCATCTAAAGTGGTTGATGGCTTGCCGCATAGAGATCCTGGTAACAGCTTTCTACTGGCTAAATGGCTTTTCTTCCCACACTGAGACCTTCAGTCCCACCAGGAAAAAAATTTGAACCACAAGCCACAAAATCCTGGCCATGGGCCTGGCCGCAAGAGTCCTGTTTGTTTATTGCTGCAAAGAATTAACTTGGCTGATCCCCTGCAATTAAAGCCCATGCTGCCAAGCTTAAGGCAGAAGTGATTAACAAAGATAAAAAGTAGTAAAAGCATCACAAAGACAGCGTCAGTTACTCAGTTGACAGTCCAAACCACTGAAATAACTTTGGAGACACTTCAGTGCTGCCAATGTGAAACAGGCCACAGTGTGGCTGTCTAATGCGCATGTGGGTCCCCAATGGGGGTGCCTGTGCTCACCGTAGTGCCCACAGGCACCTTTCCTGGTACCCCCAAGTGCTTTAGAAAGTGGGCAGGACTGGCGGGGCTTTTGCCCAGGAGGACTTCTGATTGACTGTGCAGATTAAAATGCATCCTGTTAAACAGAACTTCTGCCTGAAATGTTGAAGAGATAATATTGGAGTTATATATTACCTTGCATCCTGACATTTTGTAGTTGGCTCTGCCTCCTGCACCTGCTGTTTTGTCATTGTGCATACCGCCCTGCATCAGAATTCCAAAGGTGCCCACAGGTTCAAAAAGTTGGGGACCCTAGTCCATTGTTTGCAAGTAAATGTTCCAACTTTTGTTGGTTTGGCCAGTGAGCATGTCCTACCAGCAATCAAGAGAGAGGTTTTTGCCTTTCTGTTTGAAGTGTGGAAAAGAAAGGGGAATGCCACAGCACTTATGAGATTTCCTCTGTAGGATATCCTTTGTTATACTTTACCAATATTTGGGACAAATACAAGGAATGTCCGAAGGTATGTGTGATGCTGCTCAGGTGGCAGTTGTAGAATGCTGGGTAAAAAAAGTTTTATTTAAGGAAGATTTACAGAGGGCTGATACATTTGAACATATGGTTGAATTTTATCATAGCATTCCACAAAGAAAAGTCCTAGAATTAGACACAAATGACCAATCATGTAAAGTACAATTATCACACACACGTCTTCTTTCTTTTGTTGTTTTCGGGGGGAAGCACTGAGTCTTATACTTTATTTTTATTTTGTTGTTATTTTCCTCTAAGGAGCCCAAGAACACACACAAATACAGCTTACTGTGAAGTCATATCAATGAATTAATTTTGTTTACCAATGAGATCTGTTTGAGGGAGTTCATTCATAGTTGTTTTTCCCTCCTATTTTAGCTTATTGTGATTTAATCCAATCAGCTGTACAGATTCGAGCATACCTTCATCAGGTAGTATGAGCCAGCCTAGTGTGGTGGTTAGTGTCAGACTAGGATCTGGGAGTCACAGATTTGAGTCCCCACTCTGCCATGGAAGCACACAGGGTGACCTTGGGCCAGTCACACACTCTCAGTTTAATCTACTTTATTGGGTTGTTGGGAGGATTTGAACCCAGGTCCCCCCAGTCATAGACTCTCTCCAAAAATTCTTAACTGTACTGTTTTGTCATCCTTCAAGATCTTTTATATCTTAATTTCTCATTGTTGATAATATTGCCCTAAGATTGGGTGAGGGAAAGATACCATAAAAGAGTAGTGTAGCAGCTAACACCAGGGGCTTTGCTCAGCTGTCACTGTTATAGGCTCAGTAATTTATGCTTAGTCCAAAAAGGGATGAAGTCTTTGTGAATTCTAGCATGATATGGGCACAGTTCCTGTGTGTCCTGCAGAAGCTGTTGGGCAGATCAAGTCATTTCAACTGACATTAAAAAAACACTCCACCTGGGTACATCCCAAATTATTGACTATTCTTAAGCTGCCATTAACTTCTATCTTATTACAAGAGGTGGTGATGACCATTGACTCTGAGGACATTTAAAAGAATTAGACAAATCTGTGAATTATTTATTTATACTCACTATATTTTAGACCACTTTCCCACTCAAAGGTCTTCAGAGCAGTTCACAAGAGGTTAAAACCATCCATTTAATTAAAAATTAATATAGGATCTGTCATAATTTCTCAGCAAGAACAGCTAAGTGGAATATCCATGAACAGAGGCGTTCTATTTTGGTTCCAGATATTAAAGCAAATTGGCCTCCATTATGCCCTGCTTGTAAGTCTCTTAGAGCCATCGGTATGGTCATTGTTGGAAGCAGAGCAGTGAACTACTTAGAACTTTGTTTTGATCTAGCAGGATAATATTTATATATTTATCCTTGAATATATAAATAAATATAATGTTGAAGATGTAAATAGTTCCTTTCTGCTATGAGTCTAATTATTGATGAGACACTGATGAACTGCCAACCTGTGTCAAAGTTAGGAATCTGATCTCCTTATTCCAGTGTAGTCAGATTCTTTATAAACTTTATATTTATATTCACAAATACATCTAACACAGAAAATTCCTGAGTCAGATTCCTGAGAGCCAGTTTGGTGTAGTGGTTAGGAGCATGGACTCTAATCGGGGGGAACTGGGTTTGATTCCCCACTCCTCCACATGCAGCTGCTGGTGTGACCTTCGGTGAATTACAAGATCTTTCAGAGCTGTTCTCTCAAGAGCAGTTCTCTCAGAGCTCTCTCAGCCTCACCTACCTCACAGGGTGTCTGTTGTGGGGAGGGGAAGGGAAAGGAGATTGTAAGGTGCTTTGAGACTTCTTTGGGTAGTGAAGTTTTCCTTGCTGACCTACAGATCTTCCAGTCTGCAGATCAGCATCTTAACCTCTAAGCCACCGCGGCCCCATTGGGTAGTGAAGGGTAGGGCATAAATCCAATCTCCTCCTCCTCCTCCTTTGACTGATCTAGCTTAAGTCCAACCTGACACATCCTCAAGAATACCTGCAATCACTTTTATTCAATAGATCATTATAACTAAGCGATTAATTTTCATTACTTAGAGTGTTCTTTCATGATGACTATTTTATGGCATTTTGTCTTTCACACCCACACTGTGCATTTGCAAATAAAAAAATTAATCCTAATCTTAAATAAAGTGAAACTATCTTGCATGATTTAAAAAAATCATATTTTCCCTTTTGCTAAAATGAAAATAATCTACTGAAAGTCAATCAGATATATTTTGAAAGTGGTGCAGTATTTTCTAATTTTGATTTGTAGTAGCTATGATGTATAAAAACAGAAAACAAAACAAAACAAATGAAATATAACTAGTGGCTAAATGCTTTGATGATTCGCTCATGACTCACAGCACCACTGATATTCATAGTTCTTTACAAGAATGAATAAAACTGGTTGTTTTTGAAGTCTGAAAATAATCAACAGTGTTGAAAGAAGAAACATGAATCTTGCCATTATTTAAGAATGGATCTTTGTCATATTCTCACATTTTCAAAAACACTGTCAGTGCAATTCCAAGCAGAGTTACACCTATCTTGAAGTCAACAGTCTTAGAAAACTGTAACTGTGCTTAGGGCTGCATGGTAAATCTCCTGGTTTTGAAAACAGTCAAGGACTGGCAGTGAGAATGACAAACTGTGCTGACAAATCACAGAGTTGGAAGAAATCTCTCAGCCATTATATATACCATAAGACAGGATCCCAAAGTATCACCAGCAGCTCCCTGTTCAGTCCTTTCATGACAAAGTCAAAGGAAGGGAATACTCTCCACAGCCTGCTTCCTTATTAATCTATTCTTGCAGTGATTTTTTTTCTATACCAAAATCCATTTTTTTATTTAAATCAATTCATCTCAATCCATTGATCTCCGATGGGAGAGCTCCACAGTGGGAACCCAGAGTGGTTTATATTGTCTCCTCCTCAACAACTCTGTGAGGTGGGCTTAGGGTGTGAGCCTGTGACTGGCTCAAGATCACCCAGCAAGATTCTATGGCAGAGCAGGGATTTGAACCTGGGTCTCCCACATCCTAGTCTGATACTCTAATCACTACAGCATGTCGCTCATTTAAATCGCTTATTTAAATAATGTAAACAAAAAGTCAGCCTATTACATACGTTAACAGTTTGCTTCCTTTCTTGATGGCCAAAATCTCTGCCTAGTTCTCATTCTATTTTCTTTTTAAATGTTTTTAAACTTTTATTTACATTTTATGATGATAACAAAGAAGTTATAATTTATCCAACACATAAGAGAAATGCAGTTACATAACATACTTATAAAACTTTGGAAACAATACAAGTATGATAACGTACATACATAGATAGTAAATGCAATATTGCATCTAGTGTGAAATCTTAAAATTAGAGTGAAGAAGAAAAAGAAGAGAACAGATTGGATTTATACCCCGCCCTTCACTACCCAAAGGTGTCTCAGAGCAGCTCACAAACTCCTTTCCCTTCCCCTCCCCACAAAAGTCACCCTGTGAGGTAGGCGGGGCTGAAAGAGCTCTTGACAGAAACTGCTCTTTTTCAAGAACAACTCTTATCAGAACTACAGCTTGCCCAAGATCATCCAGCCAGGTGCAAGTGGAGGAGTGGGGAATCAAACCCGATTCTCCTAGATTAGAGTCCGCGCACTTAACCACTACACCAAACTGGCTCTACACCAAACTGTAAAACTAAGAGGTATGTTAAGTGCTGTATTTGTGATCATGTATTGTGAGTCTTGCATAATGAGGAGATGCCCACTGTATGAGAGATTTTACTCTAGACTATGTTGGAGAAGAGAAAAGAGAGAAATATAAAAGGAAAGGAATAGGAGAAAGAGGGAGAGATTAGAGAAGAAGCAGTTGTCCGTAGGTTTGGTTTGGAGGAGCGAGATCTTGCATAAGAACATGAGTGATGAAAGGAAGCCATTTCTCAGTGCAGATTTTTTTTCTGGGGTAGATATCCAATTGGAATAGGCGATCTGTAATTTTCTCCATTAATAGATGATCTTTAAGTACCATTCCGTTAGAGAGGGTAGAGAATGTGATTTCTAATGATTTGCTAGTACCATCTGGACTGCTGTCAGCAAGCTATGTATTAACTCCCATCTGACCTTTAGGATCAAGGGATCACTTTTGTGATGCACAAGGAATAATTCAGGCTTTAACACTATTGAATGTCCAGGTGTTTGTGAAATGTGTTGACGGATCTTGTTCCAGAATTCTTGTAGGCAAGGGCATGTCCACCAGCAGTGAACCAAAGTACCAACTTCTCCACAACCTTTCCATTCCATTTTCAAAGAGCTATTTTCATGCTGTTCCATGTTTTTACATTCCTTAAATTAGGGGTGTAAAACATAAAGCCCAGCCCATCCAGGGCTCTAACCTGGTCTGCGAGCAACTGGTGCGATGGAGGGAACAGGAGGCTGCTGTGGAGGGGGGGAGTGGGCGGAGCCACTCCAATTGTAGTTTCAGTAAGGCAGAACAACCTTGTCTGCAGCAGTCAAGCAGACACTCTTTGCTTCAGTGGCAACCAATGTTCCCTCTAAGCCGTGGAGTCTTGTGAGCAAAAATCGCACTTTGTGAGCTCCGGGCATTAAAGTTGTGAGCGAGCCATTTGGCTACTGCATCAATCAGTTTGCTCTGGAGCCCTCCTTCCTGAGCAAAGACAAGAATGTGTGAGCCAGAGGCTAAAAACCTGTGAGCTAGCTCACACTGACTCAGCTTAGAGGGAACACTGGTGGCAACCTCACTTGTAAGTTGGGAGCTGCCACAGCTGCATTCATGCTGGCTCAGGATTCCAAGGTGAGGTCGTACGACTCTCTGCTTATCCTGCAGTTCCAGGGCTGCTGTCCCAGACGACTGTGGAGATCAGCGTTTGCGCATGGGGGGGGGGGCAGAGACAATCCTTTGCTGGGGCCTGCTGGCAGCCAGCACCGCTGCCATACTCACACTCTCCCATGTGGCAGTTGTGCTTTGGCCAATGGAGGGTGTTCTTTGTCAGTTTCCTCCACACATCTGGGACCTAGTCCTGCCACTGAGCAAGTGACTCAGTGGCCAAGCCTCCCCCCATGGAACACCCAGCAGACTTCAGCTGTAGACAGTTGCCAGTTTGGGGGGAGGGGTAGAGCTGGCGATCTCCGGCTATGCTGGTCACTTGGTGGCCTGGAGCCTCTGCCACATACATGGCCTTGTGCGTGTGGTGCCTAATCCCCTGTCAGGTGATCTGGCAGCCTTTGGCCTGGGATGGCTGCCACTGCATTGGAGTGGCACAGCTTGCCGATGATCTCTGGCTTGAACCCCCCAGTGTCACCCCACCATGAATTGCCTGATGGTCTTGGCTGGAGGTGGCCGCTGCTACATGGCCGTCCCTAACTTATCAGGCTTTGTTTGGCCTGCATCCCACTGTGCACATGGCTTTGCACCTGAGTCACTGCCCCCTGCTTCCGCAGCCAGAGAAATTAGTTCAACTTGTCTTCCCAGGCCACTTCCATGGTGGCTCAGGAGCAGGGGGGAAGTCGCAACACCCAGCCACTTCGTGTTTTTACTGTGGGGCCCAATCTCACACAATTGGTGCTGAGAGCAGGCTGGGGAAGAGGTGTTGCACCGCTGCCTCTCCAGTTTTCCCATGTGGGTTTTCCTCTGTACACACACACTCAGCCCATGGGGACTTGCAGTGAGGACACCCCAACTCAGAGCTTGGCAGCTGCTGTTCTTTCTCTTAAATGTCTCTTAAATTTGTCAATATCGTTTTTGGGTTGCAGCTCACAGAACTAAATATTCCAGTATACTTGGAATAGATTACTGTAGATTTGGCTGTGTTTTAGTGATTACAGGGCAGCTACGATAGTTACATTTCTTATGTCCAGCAAGAGTATCTAATCAGTGCAATTAATTCTATGTTTAACTGTATGTTTTCCCCAATTTGTGAAAGAGCCTCAATGTAACACATTAAATAGTATGTTATGTTTATATTTGCAGTACATGGCATTGTACCTGAGCCTCAAAATGTAAGAGTTCATTCAGTTACTTTTAACAGCACTCTCCAGTGGGATCCACTTGCTTTTCACAAAGAGAATGTGACTTATACAGTTCAGTATGAAAGGTAAGTATATAACAAATGGTTTACATAGAAGATACTTTGAAAATTACAACTTGTACCTCTGTTTTGGCTGCTGCAAGTAAAGCATCCTCTGTGTTATGGAACTGGTAAATTTTTTACGACTGAAAACAGGTTTGTTTTACTATCAAGACGGATGCATTGATTTACATGCACAGAGAATGTCACATGATGTTCCAGTGATATTGGCTGCAATCCTAAGAGCACTTGCCCCATTGAAACAAAATGGGACTTACTTCCAAGTAGACTGGCTTAGGATAGTTCCCTCTGTACTTACATTCCTAATAGCTTTTTTTCTTCAAAAAAAATCCAGTGAAAATGTTTGTGTTTGCCATAAATTAACCATCCCCCCTGACACACAGAAGCCCCACTTTCTACATCACTAATGTAAAAGACAGAGTGGCAGTTGCTATGGATTGTAGCAAATACTTACACTGGTTTTGTGGAGAACCAAAATGACGTGTGTCTAAGAAAAACTGCCTTGATATGTGTTCAATTTATAGACACCAAAGAGTAGATGAAAGGGGGGGGACAAAAAAATCCTTGCATTATTCCGAGAGTGCACCTTTAAGCAATTTTTTTGGGTGGCAGTGAAATGATGATATTAACAAATATCTTGTTTATTGAGGGTGTTCTTGATGTCCTTCCTCCTTGAGCATAAGTGTGACTCTGGGTTGGAGGCAAGAGCAACTTTAATCCTCCACTCACTCTTCTCTATTCAGTCTAGTTTACCATGGCTTTTACAAGCATTGAGGTCCCCTGGAAATTCCTTTCATTGGGAGTGGTTCATCATTGTTTAAAGTCCTTTGGAGTGGTTGAACAGGGAGATGTTTATTCTGGCAAGAATGAGAAACTGTTCCCTGAAAGAAGCTGCAGGTGGTTGTTGCCTTCCACTGGAAGGATGATTTAGAATAATAATGTGTTATGCAAACCTGGGGTGTTTTTCAGGTTTGTAGAAAGATCTGGCTTGTCTATTCACAGATCCAATCTCTGATTTACGTATCCTCAGATTTGACCAGGTTAAGAATTAGATACATGGATGGGCAGAGCTCCTATTCAGTGGACAAAGTATGTAAGACCTGGTGTTCTAGAAAACAGAGTAGGTCAGAGGCTTTAGGGAATCCCAGCTTTGAAAAGACTTGCTTACCATGGTCCAGAGCAATATTCTGTACAAGTCGTCTTTCACCTTATGTTGCTTCATTGTATTGATTTGTCACCTTTCCAGAGTTTATGCTGCAAAAGATCCATTGTCTTAACTTGTCTGACTCAAAACAATGAGTTGATTTTAAGATATATATACCCCAACATCCTAAAATAGAACCTGGCTAACAATATTTTTTTAAAAAAATCATGTAATTTGTGGAATGTGCGACCCTCCATTACCACCACCACGTATAACTTAAATAAAATCAAGACACATTTTCAGTGATGTATTTCAAATTCTTTTTTGGGGGGGGGAAGCATCTCTCCTTATATATTATTTTATTTTATATAAAAGAGTTTTCGTGTAAGACATTCCACATGCCTCCCCAGCCTTTGGAGCCCTGGCCTGTCATTCAGGAGGGGGGCCAATCCTCTGGCCGCATTGCCTCCATCCATCACCTCAGTCCCGCCCGCAGACCTGCTGGGCATCCTCTTGCCCTCAGTCTGCGGGGAGCCGCCGGGCGGGATGGACACTTCGGCGGTCGCACGCATCCAAGCCCCGTGCCAATCCTGCCATCCTCTTGCCATTCATCATTAGGCCACACCAACTCCACTTGCCTGGATGCCCTGCCACTGGGCGTGGAGGCAGTGGTGGCCACTTCTGTCACCCCTCCACCCTGGAGTCTGCAGCGGGGGGAGGAGATGGGGACCGGAGGCCGATCCTCCCGCCACCGTGCCCATCGTCGCCGCCCAAAGCCCACTTCACCTTGCTGCCAACCCTGCGGCTGCATGGGGTCTAGTGCCCCGCTCGCCCACAGAGTGCTTGATGTGGCCCCAATGCTGCCACCGGCCGCCCGGCCATGGAGACAGTGCCGACCCAGCACCCCTCAAGCCTGCGGTCTCACCAGCGGGAGATGATGCCACGCCGGCCCTCATTCCCCTCGCAGACAACATGCGGACCAACCCCACATCAGGCAGAGGGCCCTCATGCTGTGGCCGCTCCTCCCGCTGCACTGGCCCCCACATCCCAGGGCCAATGCATGTCGCTGGCCTGTGGTCCGGTCGCCGCCATGCCACCAGGGTGGCCTGCGGTGGTGCCAGCTCAGAGGCCACTGCCTGTGCCCACACTGGGACACTGTCACTGCCTGTGCTGTCGCCACGGGGTCACCAGCACAGCCCGGCCGGGGCCGCAGGGAGCTCTCATGTCCTAGCGCTCATTGTCTTGATCCTACAACGGACCTTGATCCTACTTGTTTTATATTGTCTTTTAAAGCCTGTTAGCATGTTCTCTGTCAGGCCTCCCTGATTATGAAAAGAACTGGTTGCCATCACAAAAAAGGGTGTGTTACACTCTTACAGGCATTACAGTAGTTAAAACTTAGAAGACTTGCTAGTTCAGTTCTGTATCACAAAGAAAAAGCAAACCTATAGAATGAAAAGTATTTTTTGTAATATGTCTACATTCTAATTTATTTAAATTATTCTAAAAGTGCAGTGATAAGCATGAGAAGTAGATGAATACTGAGATTTAGTACCTACCATGAAAAAATCTCTTTAACATTCCTTTTTACAGACATTCTGGTGGATTCACTGATCTGTGCACAAGAATTGCTTTCACAGAGTGCAGTATATCAAGTATACCCCTACATGGTAATTATACTGTAAGAGTTAGAACTGAATCTGAGAAGGAACAGTCAAACTGGAAAAGTATCACCTTCACACCAATAGATAGTAAGTCCTTTTGTAATTCCACTGGTAGACACTGTGTGGTTTTGTCCTGTCTGACTTAACTGTGGGGCACTCCAGTGGTAGGGATGAAAATTTTGTTTAATGAAACAACTCTTTGTGTGTGAAGTGCAGTCAGGTTGCTTTTGATTTATGGCAACTCTATGAATTAACATTCTCCAAAGCATCCTCTCGTTAGCAGCCAGTCTCAAGTCTTTCAGATTGAGGGCCATGGCTTCTTTTTTTGAGTCAATCCATCTCATGTTGGGTCTTCCTCTTTTCCTGCTTGTCTTTTGCCTAGCATTATTCTCTTTTCCAGTGACTCTTGTCTTCTCATAATGTGACCAAAGTACAATAGCCTCAGTTTAGTCATTTTAGTTTCCAGGAAGAGTTCACGCTTGATTTGATTTAGGACCCACTTATTTGTCTTTTTGGCAATCTATGATGTCTGTAAAACTCTCCTCCAACACCACATTTCAAAGGAATCTACTTTCAGCCAGTTTGTTGTAGTGGTTAAGAGTGCTGGTTTGGGCTGAAAGCTATAGGTGAAATCAAATGGTGTTCTGCTGTTATCATTTTTGGGTCTGTTGTCATGAGTCACACCTGCACAATTTACAATAGGCATTTTGGGGATTACAGTGCCCACCCAATAACATAAAGAAACTAATGAACTGATAATCCCAGACTGGTTGTCAGAAATAACCTACTAAAAGACACGCCCAGTATCATAAGGAAACATGACATAACATCAAAAATGCATGGTTTCTTTGTTCTCTCAAAGTTAGATTCTGGGAAGGAGAGAGCAATGTTTCCCCCCAAACCAATATTATGTAAGTACACACACATGAGAGAGAAAATACAAACCAAGTAAGACAATTCTAGTGAATGGAGGGGGGGGGGTAACCTTGATTTATACATCTATCCATACCAAAATCTGCACTAATCATTGTTTGGGCAAATGTGCCCCCATTGCACATTGGCTAAGACTGCCCCTGCTCACACCTAAATTATATATGATGGATTCATTTTCAGTATATAAAGGGGTGTTGCTTTGCCATTTGAGGAGAGGAGGACATCCTGAAGCTCAGGCAGGAAAAGAACTTGGGGGGGGTAGAAAGAGTGGCCTGATATCCTACCTCCAGGGATTATGGGAGAGGGAGTACCCCAGTTTCTGGATATCCTCCTCTACCTCAAATAGAAGTAACCTTCATGGTAAGTCCATGGTAAGTTTTCTCATCCCCCCCAAAATCACCTGATTAATATGAAGTGCTGCATGTGTAAATGACTCCAAAGGCAATATGAAAAATACAAGTTGAATCTTGTTTTGTTCCCTCCCACTTAGCTGTTATTGGACCCCCTGAAGTACTTGTTGAACCAAGACCCAGGGCTTTGTATGTAGAAGCCAGAGGTCCTTTTTTTCAACAGAATGGTGACCGTTGGCATATACAGGACTTTTATGGTAATGTGGTTTACAGCGTGCTAATCTGGAAGAAAGACTATGGTGAACAGGTAAGGCTTGCTGGCAGCTGTGATTGTAGCTTCTGTTGCGGGGAGGTTGGAGGTGCCCTTCTACATTCAAAAGTATAGAAAAACTCCACTCATTCAAAATTATAGAAAAACTCACCCCACCTTCTCATCCAATGAACTTTAACTTAAAGATTAAATTTCTTCTTTAAAGAGCCACATCTAGTTCCATACTAAGCAGCATTTGGCCAAAGAGCCATAGGTTGCAGGCCTCTGGTGTAGTGAATAGGTGGCTGTATGGGCCAGGGAAATCTATGTTTCAATCTGGCGCAGCCACAAAGCTCATTGGCTGGCCTTGAGGCAATCATTCTCAGATTAATCTACTTCATAGTGGTATTGTAAGGATGTAATTGGATGGCCTCCCCCCCCCCTTCCAGTGCCATGAGCTCCTGGGAGGAATGGCTATAAATGTGATCAAGTATCTCAGTTTGACAATAATAATCCAAAGTGGGGCTTGACAAGAGCAGACGAATGTGGAGGCTCTCCGCAACCTTCTGCTATTCTTAAAGCTTTTTCTGACAATTCCAGCAGTCAAAAGTGATTCCCCGTAAACAGAGCCTTTGTAAGGAATCATCAACCAAAGTGAGGGGGTGGCAGTCCCCCTTTAGCAGTACAGGTTGCTCCTAAAGCGGGAAGCCTTCAGGATGCCCAGCGTGACGAGATTTTCACCTGCACGAGCAGTAGGAAAGCCCAGCAGAGCCAGAGGAGTCTACGTTTTAGCAACTCAAAAGAAGAAATATACAATAAACAAAGCTAAGTATTGTTACTCAATATCACCTCTAGAAAAGGATGGGGATAATAGGCGGGAAGCCAAAAAGGGGGAAACGCAGGGGAAAACAAAAGAACATCTGGTAAGCATATGAGCAGGTGTTCGATATAGCGGCTAACAAAATAAAAACACAGATAGACCCTACCTCTTTTGCTCATTGGATTAGGATGTGTTAAACCCTCCAGAAAGTAGAATTCAAAGACTACATAATTTTCTTTTGTTTTCCATTTTTCTTCTCATCTTAAGCTGCCCCTTTAACACAGACCACAGCTTCGGTGGGGGTGACACAGCACTTTGCCCTTACTGAGGAAAAAACGGAAACAAGGAGGTGGGCAGCAAGTCGACGGGGAATGATGTGGTGGTCCAGAGAGAGGAAGGAGTGACAGAGTACCGTAATCTCGTGAAGAGAGGCACAAGTGAAAAGAAGAAGAATGGAGGGAACAAGATTCAATAACGTGACGGAAAAGGAAGAAGGAAGGATGTTTAAAGGAGACTATTTTGAATGAACTAAAATGAATTCAAATGAAACAATATAGGTCATAGAAACAAAATGAAACAATATAGGGAAATATAGTAGAAAATTTGTAAGAGAAAATAGAGTACCACCTTGAAACTAAGCTGCTCATTAGTAGACGGGGAAATTGGACTATATGCCAGAATTTTTAATGTGTAACTAATTAATTGAAATAAGGAACAAAATACATGGCTTCAGGATCTAGTAGTTCTAGAAAAGGTTCCATTCCATCCCCGGGACAAACTGGAATATTAAGCCATTTAAAAATGAGTGTCGCGCAGATGACAATAAAAGATCTGAAATGTTTTATTCAAGAATGTGTAACACAGGCAATGCAAACAATGCAACAAAATATGAAAGCTATTCTACCAGCATTAATTAAAAAAGAAATGGAACCCATTCAGGAGAAAATGGATAAAATATCAAATTAAATAAGGACTGATACGGAAGATATTAAAAACAGATATCTGAAAATAAAATGGAAATAGCAAAAACCACAACAGCCTCAAACAAATTATAGAAGATAAAGTCCAGGATTTAAATCAGGAAATACAAGACGTAAAAATAAAAAATGATAACATTGAAGAGACACTAATCCATCTAGAAATGGAGAAAGCTGTGCTAATAGTAAGGTGTCAAAATGTAATAGAAGACATAGACAAAAATTTCAAAGAAGAAATGGCCCAGAATTTGGCAGAGCAGTTCAAGGTAGGAACAAAAGAAGAGGTGTTGAGTGAAATAGATGCCATTTATCGAAGAAATACAGCTTATGCAAAAAGAAACAAAATACCAAGAGAGGTGCATATAAAGTTTTTAAAAAAAGAAATGAGAGATAAAATTCTTAAGGCATCACATGAGGAAAAGATAATAATAAAAGGTGAAGCAGTTATGTTGCTAAAAGAAGTGCATTGGAGGGTGAGGGATAAAAGACGAAATTATACAGTTTTGACCAAACTCTTGAGAGCAAATGAAATAACTTATAGATGGTTAATACCAGAAGGCATATTATTATACTACAAAAATAAAAGGCAAAGATTAGATTCAGTGTTCAAGGCGGAAATTTTTTTGGAAAGATACGGAGAAGACCTGGGCTACCAGAAAGAAGAAGAAGGAGAAGATAAGGCAGAGACAAGAGAGGAAAACGTGGTTCAAGAAAAAGATAGAACAAAAAAAATGTGGAAAAAAGGAAAAAGAGGCATGGGAAAAACACAATCCCAAATACTAACTAGGTACCAATACAAAAATAGATTCGGAGATAACAAGAACAAAAAGGATGGGAACTAAAAGTCTGAAGATTCTCTACATAAATATAAACGGACTTAATAGCCAACGAAAATGAAGAAGAATTTTCCAACAAATTTCAAAACTACAACCTGATATAATATGTCTTCAAGAAACCCATATCAGAAAAGAAGATACACAATATTTAACATTTTTAAAAATAGGTGAATCATATTGGTGGATTTAAAAAAGAAAAGAGGAGTAGTTACTTATATTAAGGAGTATTTACAACTGGAATTATTTTATAGTTCACAAGATGGTAGGATAATAGGCAATAAAGTAAGAAGAAATGGGAACGAACTGCTTATTTTAAATGTATATACTCCAAATCAGAATCAAGAAAAATTATTTATAGAAGTACATAAAGTACTTACTAGGAAAAACTTTGATGATATCTGTATCTTGGGAGACTTCAATGCAGTGTTTGATCTGAAAATAGATAGAGAAAACCAGAGAAAGAAAAAACTAGGCCAAACTTTACCAAAGAGTTTTTTACAAATGGCAGAAGAATATAATATGGTTGATACTTGGAGGACCAGATACAAGCATTCGTGGATGACCTTGTCTTTATAATAGAAGATCCATTAACGTCTATCCCTCATCTATTGGAAGAAATTCAATCTTTTGGTGAAGTTGCTGGCTTAAAAATAAACTTTTAAAAGATGAAAATTTTAACCAAAAACTGTACACAAGAAAAAATACAGGATATTTTAGATACTACAAAATTTGAGGTCAGGAAGAAAGTCCATTACTTTGGAATTTATATGACGAACAGAAACAGTGCATTAGTGGAAAACAACTATAAAAAACTATTAGAAGAAATTAAAAAGGATCTTTTAAAATGGAAAGACTTACAACGTTCATTACTGGGAAGAATAGCAACCATTAAAATGAACATACTTCCACAGGAATTTATATGACGAATAGAAACAGTACATTAGTGGAAAACAATTATAAAAAACTATTAGAAGAAATTAAAAAGGATCTTTTAAAATGGAAAGACTTACAACGTTCATTACTGGGAAGAATAGCAACCATTAAAATGAACATACTTCCACATTTTTTGTTTCTTGCACAAAATCTTCCAATTCTGAAGAAAACACAATATTTTATTGACCTTGACAAAATTATCAGACATTTCATTTGGTATCCTAAAAAAGCGCGAATCAAATGGAAAGTGTTACAAGATAAGAAGGAAAGAGGTGGATTCGGTTTACCTAATTGGAATCTCTACTATCAGGCAGCAGCTGCAGTTTGGATTAAAAATTGGATAACACTAGAAGATTTAAGAACAATAAATTTAGAAGGACATGATTTGAATATGGGCTGGCCTTTCATTCAGTTTTTTTGCGCCGTAGCTCCAATTTTACACTATATGGATTTGTATTTTCCAATCTATATTTAATTTGATCTCCTATTGTATGTGTATATGTATGCCAATAAAGGCTTGTCAAATGTAAATATGGGCTGGCATGCCTATGTTTGGTATGACAAGGATAAAATCCATACAAACTTTCATCATCATATTGTAAGGGGAGCATTGATAAAAAGTTGGAGGAAGTTAAAAGAAAAATATTACGTGAAAACGTCAAAATGGGTATCTCCACTGGAAGCATTTATAAAACCCACGCTATTAACGGGAAAAAAGAGAGAGCCCTATGACACATTATTAAACAAAAATAATAGTCTAAAGACTACAGAAGACTTACAGATACATAATATAAATTTGATGTGGTGGGAAAGTATACAATTGAACTCCAGATATACTAATGATAATAAGATTGGCTTCTATAGTAATAAAAACGAATTGGAAAAAAATTGGCTTTCATCCAACGATAAAATGATTCAAAAGATTTATAATTACTTATTGGAGGATTATATGCGGGATGAGACAGTTAAAACCTCAATGATATCTTGGATGCCAGACATAGGATACAATATTGAAATTGATGAGTGGGCTAAAATATGGAAAATAAGTAAGTTTCTTAGAGCAACATCATTTAAAGAAAATATACATAAAATCTTCCATAGGTGGTACTGGTCGCCAGATAGAATTGCTAAATGCTCAGTTAAAGCATCTAAGAACTGTTGGAAATGTAAAGTTAATGTTGGCACTTTTTTCATATGTGGTGGAGGTGCAGTAAAATAAACAAATTTTGGTTGAGTATCAATAAGATAATAGTGGAAATTCTAAATGATATTTACTTGTTGCCGTATATATTAACCTCAGCTAGGATCTTGATAGCTAAATATTGGAAATCGGATAATCTACTCTCGAAAGAGTTAGTGAAAAAATTGTTAGAGGTCGCTGAAAGGGACAGACTAAATATGTTAATTCATGGAAAAGATTAAACTATATTCCAAAACGATGGTCAAGAGGTTATAGTTGGATAGAGAATGAATGATGTATTAGACTCCAAATAATATAAAGAATTTAAGCACTGTATTATCGATTGTAATACTGGAAAATTTTATAAATAAACGTGTAAAAAATAATAATAATAATCCAAAGTGATTAATATACACAAGGTCTTGCTGAGAGATGCAAGATCTAGGGTTTGACTGACTAGCATTTACAAATTATCTAATGATAGTAGAGGCTGTGTGTGCAATTATTTTGCAGGTGCAATTATTTACTGAGGGTTTCTATTTTTAAAATGCAAATTTCTGGATCATACATGACTTCACATGAAAAACTTGGGTTTTCCTTTCAGTCATAGAGTTGCTGGGTAGCCTCAAGAAATAAAGCTGTGATTGCAATGTTGGCCACATGTAGGTTAGGTTTTTGGACTAGAATCAGATAGGTGGCATTGAACTTTCAGGGGACTTATGATTCTGTACTGTTAGGGTCTAAAAGAGGTCGGGGTACTCTTCCATTTGCTTTTTGACCACAGGAGTTGCAAGATGTGGCACAAAGCAAAGAGAGGTTTCAGTGGAAACAGGACAGGACCAGCTATTTCTACCCAGCTTTCCAGACATGAGATGGTAACTTAGATGAAGGAAAAGGGCACCCTGCTCAGTGGCTTGTTCTTTGTTCTTGTTCTGATCCTGCAAGAGAAATCAGTAGTACCTGTTGTTATAACAGAATGTCTGATACTGGTGCTTCCTAACTCCACCCATTATTTCTCCTTGTGCCAGAAATTATTTTATTTATGTTATTAAGATCATTTACAGTCTGCGTTTCTTGCTGAGGCTCAAGACAGATAACATAGTATAAGTAAAGTATTGTCAACAGGTGGGACATCCAATGAACAGTACAATACATTTTGGACTACAGAAATTAAAATAGAGCTGAAACAAAGCATAAGTATCCAAACATGATATGTGAAATGACATAGAAACTACATAGTCTGTAGCATACTTACAGTGACAGGCAACAGTACAGTAATACAGGCCACAGTGCCTATCACTTTATCAATGCAACTTTCTGGACCATTACAGTACAGTCCTATTTACCTGTGCAGACAAGCACTTTTGAAATAATTCTGTTTTGCATAGTTTGTGGAAAGCCAGGAGAGTGGGAGCCTTCCTAACCTCATCAGGAAGGCCATAAATAAATAAATCTATAAGGTGGAAGCCACAACAGGGAACGCAAGCGTATGGGCAGTTATCAGTTTTGCCCATTTGCAGGATGTAACCTGGAGAAGGCCCTGCTGATATGGGCAAAGTTGTAGCGGAGCACAGGGGACAGGCAGGCCTTGAGATAGGAGGGTCCAAGGCCATGAAGGGCTTTGTATGTGATAGTACACTGAATTGAGCTCGGTAATTGATGGGCAGCCAATGGAGTTACTGCAGAATTTTATTTCTTTATTTAAAACACTTGTTAGGTGCTTTTCTCCCTTGAGGAACTCAAGGTGGCTTACAATAGAAATAAAACATAAAACACAATAAAAACAGTTATAAAAGTCACATATTAAAAACTCCACGTAGGAGAATGGGAGTGATATGCATGCTCCAGATAGCTCTCAATAATAACACAGATGTGGTGTTTTGAACCAGCTGAAGTGATTTCAAAGGGAGACTCTATGTAGAGTGCATTACAATAGTCTAGTCTCGATGTTGTTATGGCGTGGATCCAGGCCGGCCAAGTTAAAGTAAGAGGCCATCTATTAGGCTATACTGAGTTGGAAGAAAGTATTTTTTGCAGCTGCATTAACTTCTCCAGCAGCAGTGCTGGATACAGTAAAAAAAAAAACCCCAGGCTCTCAGTTGAGCAGTGAGTGTTGGCTGAATCCCATCAAAAGTGGGAAGTGCAGTTTCCTTCCAGACATCCTCTTGCCCAACCAGCATCACTGACATCTTGTCTGGGTTCAGTTTCAATTTATTTGCTGTCAGCCATTTGACCACAGCAGTTAGGACTGCAGTATAAACTCTAATGTGTCAATTCACCCTTTGCATTCTTGTTCTACTAGATGAACATTGTGAATATAAAGTATGATTCGGAAAAACTGTCCAACCTGGATCCCTGGACAACATATTGCATTCAAGTTCGCGTATTTGTTCCTGAATCAAATAAAACAGGAGAGTGGAGCAAAATGTCCTGTATTTCAACAACTGATGACGGTAATATTTAAATAATTAAAAGTGTAATTCATGAAGGGAACTCTCGTAATTTTGTACACTTGTTTTTCCTTGCTCTCTTTTGAACAAAAGGCAGTATCATTGTTTGAAAACTAAAGTTTCTAAAAATCTTATGCATGTTTTATCAGAAATCACTCTTATGTTCTTATAATACGATGGCATGATCTACTGTACAGATAGATCCTGCAGGAGCAGCAAACAAACATGACTTTTGTCTACATTCAGGCAGAAGTCATTACCTAAAACCACCAGAGCCATCTCTGTTCCAGAGCCTGACCTGAAACCAGACTGAAAAGGGTCTAGAGCCCATGAGTTATCTAGGAAGATTCGGAGTAGAGGTCTCTCAATCACTTTGCCTAGAAAGGGTAGATTAGAAAATGGGCAATAATTAGCATCATTTTTGTCTAGGGATGGTTTTTTTAACTAGTGGACAGATAACCACCTGTTTGAGTGCTTGAGGGAACGTGTCTGTGACTGATTTATGATCATAATTAAGGGTTTTGTTTATGTGGTTCTTATATAATTTTAGCAGCCAGGATGGGCCAGGGTCCATTGCGTATGCGGTGCCCTTCACAGATCTCAAGATCCTGTTAATACTCATCTCAATAACTGGATCAAAATGGTCCGTAAGCAGATCAGAGAATACAGTAAACATTTCTTCTGCCAGGCCTGTCTTAGAGACAGCATCCAGATCAGAGTGTATTCATGTTATTTTATCAGCAAAGAAGCGTGAAAAGATGTCACAGCTAATTGTTTGTTCCTGAAAGAATAAAGATTCACATTTAGGAGTCTGCAGGTGACAAGATAACTTAAGCAGTTGGGAGTGTTGTGAGTTTTAAAATGTAATGGCTCAAGTGATTGAGCAAAGAAATTATCTTTTTTGCTGCAGAGTTGCTGTTTGAGAGCCTTCCATGATTGACACAAGAGTAAATGTTCTGAGGCCAGTGGGGCTACTCTCGTGTAAATCTCCATGTAAGGATTTTGCACTTTCCC